GCTATTTTCACAAAAAAATCCATTCTGCCAAAGTCTTCGGTACCCGGTTACCCTGTAATGGTAACCGGTTACCTCCTCACAAAATTTCTCAAAAATCAAGTTTTTGCACGCAGTAATCGGTTGTCCCTAGGTGGTAACTAGTTACCACTGCTATTTTTCCAAAAATCTACAATTTACAGGTTGCGATTTCCATCTTTTCAAAACTCTAAAACACCAAATTTTCACATGAAATAACATCAACTCATCATACCAAATAGGCATACATCATAATCATCAATGGGATTACTTTACATCTTTAAAATCAAGAGTTTACACACATCAATTCAACATCTCAGATCATCACATATACAAATCACATACACACCAATTTCACACAAAGAATGATTAAGCAATTACTCAACCTAACTCTACCATAACCCATCATCATACAAGCCCTTATAGAGTTAAAACCCCACCCTTACCTTAGATTTTGAGTTCTCTTCCCTGATCCAATGGAGTCTTCCCTTTAGCCCTAGGTTCTTCCTCTTCTCTTCTGCTTCTCACTTCTAGGATCTATTTTCTCGTGTTCTCACTTTTGTTTTTTAATAACACATCTTAGACCCCTAAATTCATATTCCCACCTTGCCCTTCTTATTTTTAATTAATTATTTAATTACTAATATTATAAATAAATGATATCTATAATATTAATAATTAATATAAATCTTAATACTAATAATGCTCATATTCCGCATTCACCTCGTGGTCTCTACGCTTTTAGTCATACACCCCAACAATTCAACCTCTAAATCCAAAATAGAATCTCATCACATTCTAAAACATATCATCACCGTAAACACATCATCATCTAATTATTTTTAAATAAAAATAACCTTAATTAAATAGGAGTGTTATAAGACAAGGATTAAAATTTCCCATAAACGACATCACTGATCTTACCGGTTGATTAGAACCTGAAGTAGGCCGAGAAGATGACATCTTCAATGCTGGAATTGAGGAGGAGGGGGATGTATCTGCAAGACACTCTGATGCTCAAGTCATTAGGAGCACAAAGAGATACAAGAAAGAGATTAGGATTTTAGAATGAATATTGGATACCTTGCCCTTATAAGTGTGAGGGTTTATATAATGCCCATGACGCTTGGGCATTAGTTCCTATTTTTGGGCTTGCATATCAGGTTCCCCAAAAATAGGTAACTTCCAGAACTATTCATTGTATCGACCAGAGGTGCTCCTACCTAGCCATTACAATGAGCAGAGGAGTGTTTCACGGGCAAGCGTGATTTCCTATCATTCCTGGGTAGCTATCCCCATACGGTCGGGTAGGATGGCTAGTATGAGTGGGAAGAAGTGGCTGTGGAGCTTTGGTGGCAAGGAATCCTTAGTTAACGAGCAGAAAGGATAAAGTGTTCTTTATCCTTCATGTCTTGGTCATTGGGCCGTCCTACACGCAAAAACAGATTGGGTCATGGCTAGCCATTAGGCCAGTCCAAAACAAGATCCTTCCCATCTGTTTTAACATAGCTCTAGGAATAGGATTGAATTCCACATAGGTGAGAGAATTCATAGGATTGCTGCTTTAGATCCTCTCAGCTTGATCTTTGAATCTTTTCTTATACTCTGTTGATTTGAGCCAGGGTTCAAAAGGGTGTTTGATGAGAGGATTAAGGTTTCTTTGGTTTTCTAAAGATCAAAACTCTTCATTGTGCCCTATGATCCCAAAATTAAAACAAAACATAATAATTATTTCAAACCTAAAATTGATCCACGCCGTTCCTTATTTTTTACTCCAAATGTGAATACTTGGTTTTAGAGGTTTCTTGCTATCAAATAGAACTTTTACTTTAACTAGGGTAACATTCTTGGGATATTGGTATATGTTTGCATCAAGAACTGTCCCAAATTCTTATCCTAATATTTCTCCCATCTTCTTTGTCTTTATTTTTTTAGGGATACCCCAAAGATGGACCCAGATGGGAACAAGGTTGAAAGTTAAACTCTAAAGAATAATTGTGATTTCAGGGCTTAATAGAAAGCCAAACATTCCTGAAAATCTAGGGATTTCCCTTTAGGATTATTTTCACATCCTGCAGGTTATCCATAGAAATACAAAACATCCCTCATTCAATTTCAGAAATTTTTAGCCCCACAAAGTCACACCATATGCTAGATAACCCAGCACTTAGAGAGTTTTTGTGAATTACTTTGTCAGACAAGTTTTTTCCTATAACAACATTTTTGTTATTTTTGAAATCTTTGATAGGCCACAAGAGCATGGATTTATTGGTTTTAGTATAAAATATTATCAATCCTATAGAGACCAATCACCAATTACCGTTATTCGTTACTACAGTGTTTATCTAAGGCTACACAAATAGTTTAATTTACACGAAATTTAAAATATGTGTTTAATTCAAATAACAAGAGGCCGAAACATGATTTAAATCTACTTATGTTATTATGATAAATTGTAGCTTATTTTTATAACAAGAGAAATATTTTTCGCAGAAAAAAAATTAAGTTAGAGGTATCGTCTGCTTTTTCGTGTCTGGTACCGAATTTCAAACTCGTAATCACTCGTTGTCGCAAGATAAAAATTACGATTTTTAAATACCTTTTAGAAAATAATAATTTCTTATTTAATTCTAAGCGAATTCTCTATTTTAAAATAAAAAACCTGAATTTTCTTTAGTCAGATATCGTTTTCGCTCTTTCGAGTCGAAACTGGTATTTTGGTATTCCCACTTTCATGGTAAATTTAACCTTTAAAAACCGAGTTTTTCAAAACTAAAAAAATTCTCATTACCATTATTTAGCATGAAATTTATTCGAGTACTGTCAGTTTGATGATCCTCATGTTTCGAACTCAACAGGTTTACTCAGACATATCAAAAGTAGTAAATAAAAGGCATACATCATAAAAATCAACAATTAAATTGAACATGGAAATTGCATAACTTTAGAAACTTGAATAGAATAAATGCTTCAAAGAGAGACTTTTGATTCGGTGCAATGTTGACTTGAAGTAAAGGTGCAAGGAATGAAAATAAATAAATAACAAATTAGAGAAATACAACAAAATCAAAGTAGAAAAATGCTCCAAGTGCAGAAAATTAATTTTGCAAGAACACATTAGATATTAATGCTTTTACAAGTGAATTTTATGGCTATTACAAAGCTGAATGTCAAATTTTGAGTTTAAGGACCTATTTATAGTCTAAAACTCATTCTAGAACTGCTGAATTCGTGCAAGAGAAATGGAGATAATGCTAGAAGGGGGGGAAAACCAATTGCTGGAACATGGGCAAGAAAATGGCTTCATACCGTCATAACGGGCGTCAGCTAGGCTGACGACTTGTCCGTCATGACTCCTTTAAAGGGGCTCTAGATCGTGGGGCCATGACGGGTGTCAGCTGGATTGACGGTCTAGCTGTCATGGTATTTTGACTTGCGTTCCTTGTTTTGTTTACTCTTGGTTGACGGTCTGGATCTTTTGGGCCACGACGACTGTCATGACTGGGTTGTGTTCGTTATGACAGTCAGAGTTTGGTGTATTTTTTCTTCTGTTTTTGCCCTTTTTCTCAGTTTTTCCATGCATAAGTTATAAAGCGACCAATATGTGAAACACAACACACAATACCAACATAAAACCACAAAAGTGCATGAATTTACTCTAAAACCAATGTGAATTGAGCTAATTAAATGGTGTGATTTATATGTTATCAATCTTCTTTTATATCATCATCATCCCAGACACAGAAATCTGGGTGTTCTTATTCACTTTTCCTACTAACATAATTATTGTTTTTGCTCTGATCTTGGACTTGTAGGCAGGGTATGTCTTGGGTCAGGGCAACCAGGCTCACGACCTAAAAAAATGGGGCCTCAAAATTTAGAATGTAGGACTTTTAAAATTATAATGTTAGAGTATTACATATATATTATGTTGAAATTGTTGAGCAAATAATGCTTACAGCACAATGGCTAGACCATTTTGCCATGAGACTGATGTTGCATGTTCGATTCCTGTCTGCAATATTTTGTTTTAACTAGGGGTGGTAAACGGACATGCCCGCCTCGTTTAGGCATGTCCCGCAAAAGCCTGTAAAAAATAGAGCGGGACCGACATAGTTAAGGGTGCGGGCCTAAAATCTTGGTCCGTTCCATAAAAAAAAAGAGGACGGGATGGGGAGTGCCCGTGAGCTTTTCACCTTTTAGCCTAAAAATATAAAATTTTATGTAATGTCCATGTCCGTAAAAATCTGCGAAAAACGGGACAGAACATAACAGCCATATTAGAGGTTGTGAGTCTAAAACCTTGACTCACCCTACAGAAAAGTACGAACAAAACAGACATATCCAACAAACCGAATCTGTTTTATCACCCTTAATTTTAACTAACTATTTTAATCAAATGAGAAAAGGCAATAAATGAGAATCCAACCTGTGCATTAAATTTCAAATTAAAAACCAATATCAATTGAACCAACACAATTCTAATATTTGAAATGCTTTTGTATGTATATATAATAATTTCATATTTACGAACCTTTAATATAAACTTTAAATAATATTTTTTCTTTATAATTAATTAATTATTTAAAGAATCACTGTATTTATTATTAAATTTTTATGATAATAATAACATAATTATAAATAGTTTTTTTATAGAAAGATATATTAAAAATGGATGATATTAATATTATTTATAATTAATTTTTTATTATTATTTAAATAATAAATTAGAATCCAATAAAAAAAATCAAAATTTAAGATTAGTATTCAATTTTTTATTAGGGATCTATTTTTATTAATTGTGATCCTCTAAAAAGTGAGGACATACTTTACTTGTAGGTTCATCTGCCCATTACTGCACACAACGCTACAATCCCCCAATAAAAGATTATATGGGATCTTGATTTTAGGAGGATAAGGAGGAGAGTTAGAATTGGAGATTATTCCAAGACTAGAGCGAGGTCTTTTTCCGATATCCAAGGTTTTCACGTCTTCCATGGTGAAGAACAAAGAAGAAAATGAACCAGAAGCCTGATAAGGGAAGCACAAACCACTGAAGAAAATAGGATAACTGATGGAGTACCACCACCACCACACCTACAGAAGCAGAGCTTGGAAACTCGAACAAGAAACAACATATTTAGTGTAGCACCACCACTGCACCAACAGAAGCAAAAGCTTATGCAGGGATAACCACGACACTCACTGAACATGGGAGAAAACTATAGAGATTGTAATAGAAACGAAGCAAAAAGGAGAAAGATCACTAGAAAGAAAGTTTGAAAGGATCAATCTCAGAGAAGATTCTTGGAGCGAGTCTTGAAAATCATACCAATTGAGAGAGAAGTTTAATAATAACTTTTGAAAAGGAGTGTTAAAATTTTAGATATATATTATTTATTATTGCCTATATTTTTGTTTTTTGTTTGTCAAACTTTCAATCCTTCATATTAATTCATTACGAGTTTAAGAAAAAAATATTAGATAATATATAAAAAATCTTTTATTATAATTGAACTAAGAATAATTTAATCTTTATATTTTATTTAATATTCTTTTAATAACTCTTATTTTTATAAGTTATATTTTTGATATCATTGTAACCCTATAGTTATATTTTCAATATTGTTGTAACCCTAACCATTTGCATCGTCTCTATTTTATTATCTCCGATATTAACTAGCACAATTGACGTAGAAACCTCCATTAATTTATTAGTAGAAATGAACAAAGTGAATGGTATGGCTCATTTTTCTTAGTTCTCAAAAACTTTAAGAGGAAATAATAAAGCATATAAAAAACCACATGGCATTATTTCAATTATAGGTTCACCTGCATAATGCCATTATATTCCACTCTAGAAGTCATCTTATTATGTCATACATTAGCAAGTGACTTGAATAGTTTAATCAATTGTATTTTTGACAATGATACTCATGGCCTACATAATGCAAAACAGTATAACAAAAAATTGATTTATTTAGTGCGATAGTGTTACCCATGTGTTATGTTTACATATGCCAGCCTGCCAACTATCATATTACAACTGTTATTGTTTGTCCAGATACTTCGAAAATATATATTTTTATACATTTAATAAATTTGAATTAAGTAGTTAATGAGATACAATATCAAGATATAAACTATTTTAATGATTAATGAAATATCCTAAATAGTCACTGACATAAACTTGTGTCATCAAAATATCTTTCTTATAGTCTATTTCTTTGAAATAATATCTTTTTGAAAAAAAATGTATATATACATTGTCTTCTATTTATGTCAAATTTAAGTGTTTAAATGTATTTTGTTAATAAAATTATTATGACGTGATAAATTTGTAAGTTAATAATGCGTTTAAGAGGGAGGTGAGTTAGGTGATGATCAATTTTTGCTTTCTTTTTAAAATTTTTATTTTCTTGATTATGGTGATGAAAATAATAAAGTGCAGAAAGTAAATGAACACCAGATGTATATTGGTTTCTCTTACAAATCGAGAGTACTCTGGTCCTCTTGCCAATACAGAAGAAATTTCACTATAGTTTAGAATAATGGTACAAGTCTAATCACACCAAATGTAATCTATAGGGAGATAAGGCTCTTAAAATCTTAAAGATCTTCAATACTAAGTGCAAGAAGAACAATCCTCTTCAATACACACACTTACTCCAACAATCCTGGAATGCAAGGTTAATCTTATACAAAATCTGATTTTTACAAAGTATGATCAATTTTTGAATAACACAATGGTTATCAAGATACTAAGACAAGATTTAATAGGATGTTTATAGTCAGATTTAATGCTCAATATATGCTGAAACAATGATGAGTATGAAAGTTCTAAACAATGTTTCATGCAATATGTAAATTCTCAAAGTTTTATAACACTTAAGAATTTTTGAAATTTTGAGTAATATATGTTTTGTGATGATCTGAGTGCAAATAAAATTTATATATGAAATGCACCCATTCATTACACTCTAAATGAGTAAAAAGATACAATGGTTGGACTCCAAGAGGTATCATCCAACTGCCATGTAAAACAAATTTTTTTAAAATTTTTCTGCAGTGGTAACCAGTTACCGTAGGGCTATAACCGGTTACACATGTACGATAACATATATATTTTCAAACTTGAATGCATGTAACGGGTTACCCAAAAGTTATAACCAGTTACCACTGAACCATAATTTTTATTTTAATTATGTGAAGTCTTGTAATCGATTACTGTAACCCTGTAACCGATAACCACTGAGTGAAAGTGATAAAAATATATTTTCGAAGTGATGAACATGCAATGTTTTACTTTTAAATGATCATGACCCTTACATAAAATGTTTAGAGTATATTTTGAGCACTATATCATATTGAAAACCTCAAATTAAAACTTGTACCTAACTTGTTGATGAATCTTCATCTTGAAAGTTGGTTGTTCACATGTAGAAGACTTCAAAGAGAGATCTTGAAATATTATATGATATTGAATATCTTCTTTTCCAAACCCTTGATATTTCTTTGACTTTATGTATGATGATCTTCATCAAAACACTTTGATTGAAGTGCATGCAATCACATTCCCCCCATTTTGATATAGACAACTAATTTGACATTTGTAGTTTATGCATCATGGTCTTTGAGTGTAGCTTGTATGGGTACCATAGTGACGTGCATTCTCCCTCTAAGTTGGATATCTCTCCCTGAATTTATATAGCCTTTGAAGACTTATTTTTCAAAGAGGAAGCTTTAAAGTCTGGAAAAAATTTCTGCATCACTAAACACAAGCACACAATGTCTTCTCCCCCTTTGTCAATATCAAAAAGGATGGGGAAAAGACCATAATAAAACATAATATAAAACACAAGTAAAAAATAACACAAGTTTATAACAAAACACAAAGTTAACGCATACTTAGAAACATATTAGACACTAGGTCTTTGAAGACATAAACGATAGGGAAGGAAATACAATACAAAATGCAACAAGATAAAAAATATTACATATGAAGAACATAAACAACAAACAAAATTACTAAGTCATTTAGAATTCTTCATAATCACTCTCAACCATAGAGTCCTATTGAATTGGTGTTTGAAGGGCTGTCAATTCTTGACAGATGTTTCAAAATTTCGAAATCATGAAATTTTCCATTGAGTAAGGTTTGTGATAAATCATCTCATTTGATATTTCACCGTCAATGTGGGTGGTGGAGGATGTGCATCTTGATTGGAGGAAGTTCCTTTTTCTCTATGCTTGAACAATCCATCGTCATCTTTGAAAATGCCCATATTTTTGTTTGCCGCCGCAATCGAAATTTCACAATCACTTGAAGTCATTTCTGTTTCGGTTTCTCCTCGGAAGCTAACTTTTCCAAACTTGAGAAGCTTGGTTATCCAATGAGCATATGGAAGTCCACCATACATATTTTTGAGATGCTCCATATAGTTCATGATTTAGTATGCCCAATTTATTTGAAGATTATTTTTGATTGCAAACAAGACTTGCATCTCAACATCAGTTATTTGAGAGTGATTTGAGTTCTTAGGGAGAAAAATGTAAGAAATAAAGTAATGTAGCATACGATCACTTACAGTGAGGTTGGAGGCATACCAAGTTAACCGACTTGTTGTAGAACCGACTTCCTTTTTCTTGTCCAAGATTTATTTTTCAGAGAGACGAGTGATGCTATAGTAGTAACGAGTACGGTTGTAAGCATCAACATCAATAGTATACCCATGCTTGATGTGTAAGTCTTCACTAGGAACACCCAAGAATCTCCCAAATTGAGTGGTTGACATTAAGATGTGCTTCCCTTTTACCCATGACAAAAGAACACCGTCGAAACCAATTTGCATAGTTGCATAGAATTCACGTCCAAATCTGGGTAGTAAACTCTACATTCGGTGATGAGTTCACCTACTCCTTTCCTATTCAACATTGATAGAAAACTAAAAATCGTTGAAGGGAAGGATGAGAGATTACCATATTTTACCGGAGTGAGAAGGCGGAATCAGAATGCTAAGATTGGATCATGTTCCTCTTGATTTTGGGATTCTCCTTCAATTTCTTTTGACTTGCCTTTCTCCTTTCTTGATGGTGCCATGACAAAGGTTGGAGTTTTTTCTTGGAGAGAAAGGGTTTGGGATGGACAAATTTATATAAGAGAGAGTGTTTGTGTTATGAGTTAAAGATGCAAGTGTGAGTGGGTATTTATAGATGATTTTTGGAGGGAGTTAATTTTTTGGTGAAGTAAATATTAGAGGGAGTATATTTTGGTAAGTAATTTTAGGTGGGATGATTTTAGGTGGGAAATAATTTTGGTCAAAGAGGAAAAAAATAATTGGAGAGAAATAACGTGGGAAATCATAAATGCCTTGACAAAACTAAAATTTGAGAAACTTCACGCGGTAACCGGTTACAGGATATGGGTAACCGGTTACTGAAGGTGCCTGGAAAGTGAAAAATGCTTCTGTTTGTATGGTAACCGGTTACTGACTTAGGGTAACCGGTTACTGATAGTGAAAGAAGTGAAAAAACAGTACATACCAGTCCAGAACCTATACCTATCTATTGTAACTTCTACTAAACATGTATAACAAAATACTCACAGGTATATCTGACATTTAAAACATATAGATAACTATTATATAGAACCATTCAAAGTGAATGTGGGATGAAGAGAGATATACTTGGTAAGAACAATGTAAAAGTTAATGAAAAGAGTACATGCACCTTTTATGTTTCAGAGATATAAATCATAGGTCATGTTCATCTAATATACCAAGTTCTCGTCGAATCTTGAAGAATGAATCTTTTTCTAGAGGCTTTGTAAAGATGTCTGCTAGTTGGTTGTGTGTATCAACAAATTATATTTCTACGTCACCATTTCGCACATGATCCCGGAGAAAATGATGTTGAATATCAATATACTTTGTCCGAGAGTGCATGACTGGATTCTTCGTGATGTTGATTGAACTTGTATTGTCACTTTTTAGCGGGATGCATCCAAGATTAATTCCATAGTCACGTAGTTGTTGTTTTAGCCATATAATTTGAGTGCAATAAATTCCAGCCATAATATATTCTTCTTCAGCCGTGCTAAGAGCCACACATACTTCCTTCTTGCATGACCATGATACTAGAGCATTCTCAAGGATATGACACATGTCACTAGTTCTTTTTATATATGTTTTATATCCTACATAATCTGCGACAG